AATCTTCCTTCCCTTTTTTTTGACATAACCTTCAGGTTGCCTCGTCAGGATTGTTTAATCTAAATCACCATACAAGAACGCATTCTTCACGTCCATCTGTTTCAATTCAAGGTCGAACTGGGCCACCGTGGCAAGTAACATTCAAATGGATATGTTCTTCACAACAGGAGAGAACACATTATTGAAGTTGACACCTCTTTCTGAGTGGACCCCCTAGCAACCAATCTTGCCTTGTATCTCTTCGACGCCACTCATTCGATTCCTTCCTTAACTTTGAAAATCCATTTACAGCTGACTAAAATGGCTCTAGTAAGTTTCTTAATCAGTTCCCAGGTGTTGTTATCATGAAGAGATTTCATCTCATCATCCATGGCCTTCAACCATTCAATCTTCTTTTGACTCCTCATAACTTCCTTATAGTCTCTAGGTTCTTCGTCTAGAACCTCACTTGTAGAGATTAATGCATAACCTATAAGATCTACATACCCAAGTCTATGGGGTGGCTTGATGACTCTCCTCGACCTGTCTCTCACTAGCATATAGTCATTATCAGTCTCCTCATCTTCGACAACATCTTATGCATCTTCTTCGACTTCATCTGGGATACGCAATTCAACATCAACATGCTTCACCTCAATAAGAATATCTCCATGTTCTAGCTCTTCGTCAGCATCATCAGTTTTCTTGAAAGTCATATATGCTTCATTGAAAACTACATCTCGATTGGTGACACACCTACCATGACTTGGCTCTAGGCACCATAGCCTATAAGCTTTGACTCCTTCAAGGTATCCTATGAACATGCATTTTAGAGCTCTAGGTTCGACCTTGTCTTGCTTAATATGAACATAGGCCATACAACGAAATACTTTCAGTCTATTGACAATATGTGGATGTCCTGACCAAACTTCTTCAAGTGTCTTCATTCTTAAGGCAGATGAGGGACATGTATTTATCTGGTAAGCTGCTGTCGAAACAGCCTCCGCCCAAAACACCTTCTTCAATCCAACATTAACCAACATGCATCTAACCCTTTCAAGGATTGTTTGATTGAATATCTCCGCTATTCCATTTTTTTAATGAGTATCTGCTACAGTCTTATGCCAACATGCATCTTTTGTCTTCTGAATGAATACCCATAGCTTTCTATAATAGTTATCAATGTTGGATAAAAAATAACTTGTACCTGAGCGTGAAGGATTCCTTGCAGGCCCTTAAACTTTGCCCTACAGGATTTCCCAAATACACAAGATTCACAAAACTTTAACTTTTCAACTTTGTCACCACCTAGCCGGTTTTGCTTCCCCAATTCGACAAGGCCTCTCTCACTGACACGGCCCAACCTCATGTGCCATAATTATGTTTTCGACACAGGTTTTTTGGATGCAACATTTGTCAAACCACTTACAACCTCGACCTCAAGGGTATACAATCATTGTTTCAAAAAGATTTAAACAGTGAAGAAAATTTGGATCCGTGTAATTTTGGAGCAGATTTGGATAGGTACTTGAAACATTTGCTTCAATTGGGTCCACAAATTCTCTTATAAGTAACTATTCAGGAATATCAATTTCAGCATATCCATCATTGGGTTCTAAGACCTTTCCATTACCAACTTGTAAAATCCAATATGAGAAGAGTCTATTTTCTTCTGAATTTCCTAAATTAGAACCACTTTGCAAATGCATGTTTTTGGTTATATTCATAACTTTGCAATTATCCCAAATGTAAGAGGCATTTATTGTTGCATGCACAATATCTGATCTAGTACCTCTTGGAACAACTGGTAGAATTTGTCTAAAATCTCCCCCCAAAATTACAACTTTTTCTCCAAAAATCTGCTGACACTCAACATCATCATCACTCATAATATCCTTCAATGACTTGTCAAGAGCTTCAAAACAAAATTTATTTGCCATTGGTGCCTCATCCCATATTATAAGTTTTATTACCTTTAGGAGATTAGCAAGATCAGATTTTTTCTTTATGTTACATATAGAAGATTCCAAACATGGAACTGGAATCTTGAATTTGGAATGTGCAATTCTTCCTCATGGTAACAAAAAACTTGCTATTTCACTAGATGCTACATTCAACACAATATCTCCTTTACAATGCAGAGCAATATACAATGTGTTCCACATGAAAGCCTTTCATGTACCACCATAACCATATAGGAAAATAACACTACCATTTTGATTTGTGACAGCATCCATAACTTCTTTAAAAATTTTAAGTTGCTCGTCTAAAATAAAAAACAAAACACCAATAAAGTTGCAACGTGAATACATTTTAAATAAGCAAAAGTGTGAAATTTTCAATTCTTGTGAACATCACGACAACAATGGCCATATCAATGTGATTAACATTTATACTTATGTAGTTTTATGCTAATAATTATATACTTTCTTATAAGTCTAATCCTAAAATATAAAAGAAAAGCATAATATTATGAAGAAGCATAACGTATGAACTAAATTATTGTTTCAATAAATAATTT